AGCTTCTCGTCAAAAGCCAAATCGCTCGTATTCGCAACGTTCCAAATATTCCCGAGAGTAGAATAGATCTTATAATTCCCTTCTCCACAAAAGTACAAAATTTGGCTTCTTTCCTTAGTGCAGCTGAATGCGACCACCACCTTAGCAATCCAATTTTAATGGAAGAGCTTGTATCCAAGCTGCCAGTGCAGCGCAAGTTGGCATGGGGCCAGACATTCCTTGACCATACAACCGCGACCAACTATTCAGCATCTTAGCGAGTGGTTGCAAGAAGAAGCACGCGTTGCTAGTAGTGTTTGCATCAACGTGGTCGAACCGCGTCGACAAACAGATCCAAGGTCGGAGAGGCGTCCGAGATTTTTTCATGCAACTGAAACGCAAGAGTTGCATGGAAACGAGTGCAGTATGTGTTCCGGGAGTCACGAGCTCGAACGTTGCAGTCAGTTTTTATACCTTCCACATAAGCAAAAATGGCGTTTTGTTCGCGAAAGACGTCTGTGCTTTAATTGTTTGAAATCTGGGCATCGAGGCGGTTCATGTCGTCGCAAACACCAATGTGACAATGTGAGGTGCGACAAAAAGTGGCACGCAATCCTACACGAGCCTCGATGCTCACGAGAAGAGCAAAGCCAACAAATACCGCGCATATTAACGAATGCGGAAGCACTTCCCTGTAACCAAAGGCTCTTGTTTAAAATACTACCGGTTAGGCTGTTTGCGAATGGTAAGTCAGTCGATTGCTACGCACTTCTTGATGAAGGGTCATCAATAAGTTTGGTGAATGAGAAACTCGTAACTCAGATTGGCATAACAGGGTCTAAAAAAGAATTAACCTTGCAGTGGTTCGGCAATAATACGGCAAATGAGTCGTCAATGACATTAAACATGGAAATATCGGGTGTAGGTCAAGGACCCAAACGGTTTCCTCTGCTCAATGTGAGAACTGTAAAGAACCTGCAGCTACCGCGGCTGACGCTCCGAATCTCGGAACTCCACGTAAGACAACGACACCTGAAGAGGCTACCTATAGAAGGGTACACTGGCGTAACGCCAGATCTGCTGATAGGGTTAGATAATGTGCATCTAGGCATAGCTAAGCGTATTGCCGAGGATGGTCATCGGGGCCCGGCTGCAGTGTTGACCAAGCTAGACTGGGTGATTTACGGTCCAATGGGATACGAGAACGTAGCGAGACAGCAAGTACTTTTGGTGCGAGAACACGCCGCAGATAAAACGCTCGAGGATGAAACCATCGACGAGTTAGTCAAGAACTTTATAATAAGCGATGACTTAAGTGCGTCACCTACTGTCAAACATGTCGAGCCACAGGAAGAGGTAAGAGCACGCGCCATATTAGAGAATACTACAGTTCGTATAGGCGATCGCTTTGAGACGGGGTTGCTTTGGAGAACCGATGAAGATATACCGGAGTACACGCGGGGAATGGCGGAGAGAAGACTTCTAGCGCTCGAGCGGAGATTTAAATGCAACGCAGAATTGAAGCACGAGTACATCAAAACGATGAGGCACTACTTAGCGAAGGGATATTCCAGGAAACTCACGAAAGAGGAAACGCTGACAAAACACCCACGGATATGGTATCTTCCCCACTTTGGCGTTTACAACCTAAATAAGCCGGGAAAAGTACGCCTCGTATTCGACGCAGCAGCACAAGTCTCCGGAAGATCGTTGAACTCCTACCTGCTTAGCGGTCCAGATATGGGTAAACCAATGCTAGAGGTGCTTATGAAATTTAGACAAAAACCCATAGCCGTCAGCTCCGACATCGAAGAGATGTTTCATCAGGTGGTAGTACGTGCGGAAGATCAACCGGCGCAAAGGTTTCTGTGGAGGGAGAAGCCTGATGAAGAAATCGTGGAGTACTCCATGCGCGTAATGACTTTCGGAGCAACATGTTCTCCTTGTGCCGCACAATTTGTAAAAAATAAGAATGCGCTTGAGTTTTCCGAGGAATTCCCTGATGCCATCAATGTGATTTTAAACAACCATTATGTGGACGATTTCGTTCATTCCTTTGCAGATGAGGAAGAAGCCGTGCGAATAGCGAATCAAGTGCGATGCATTCACCAAAAAGGCGGATTCAACCTAAAAGGGTTTATATCGAATTCACGAATGGTGCACGATGCTTTAAACGGAGGCCACGACTTCGGTGTACAGAAAGGTTTCGACAAATCTAATGCAGGCTATCCGAAGGTTTTAGGGATGCGGTGGGACACGGAGTATGATGAGCTCAAGTTCGTTCTCGCTTTCGGTCGCGTCGATGAAGACCTGTTGCAAGGCAAACGGGCCCCCCACTAAGCGCGAGTTATTACGCGTCACCATGTCTGTTTTCGACCCCTTTGGCTTTGCAGCGGAATACGTACTTAAGGCGAAGTTGCTACTGCAAACGGTCTGGCGAGCGAGAACTGATTGGGATGATGAAATTCCCGTGGAGGCGCAAAAGCTCTGGAGGACATGGCTAAACATATTACATCACGTGGACAACATCAAGGTTCCGCGCTGCTATGGTACATTCTTTACAACAGGAGTTGTGGAGCTCCATGTATTTGCCGACGCAAGTGAGATGGCATTCGCCGCTGTGGCGTACTGGCGAATCAGCAATGGGCGTGACGTGAACGTTGCAATGGTAGCCGGAAAGACGAAATGTGCACCTCTCAAGCTCACGACTATTCCAAGATTAGAACTGCAGGCGGCAGTACTGGCCTCTCGACTTCGGAAAATGCTGTTGAGTTCTCACGACACCAAGCCGTCACGTGTGGTGATGTGGACAGATTCGAAGACAGTCCAAGCGTGGATAGCTTCCGACCACAGAAGGTACAAGCCCTACGTAGCCCATAGGGTTGATGAAATTCTAGATGTTACTAATCAACTCGAGTGGAGATGGACTCCAGGCGCTCTAAATCCAGCAGACTTTGGTACGAGACTACAAAGCAGCTCGCGTGAATGCTCCTGGCTTTGTGGCCCAGACTTCTTGAGAAAAGACGAGTCATTTTGGCCCAGGCTTGATGCTGTCGATGGAACTCGTGAAGAATTACGGGCCAAGTATGAGGTATTCCTCGTCTCGCTGGACGAGGACATGCTGCAGAAGTACTCATCGTTCCCACGACTCACAAGAATAGTCGCCTACTTGCGAAGGTTTGTGTACAACAGCTCCAACACACCAGAGAAGCGACTGTACGGTTCGTTGACGGTGAGGGAACTTAGAGATGCCGAACTTCTAGTCATCCGTATCGCGAAGCGGAGTGCATATGCCGATGAGTGCGCTATACTGAGGGGAGGTAAGCAATTAAACGCAAGTAGTAAACTTTTTAGATTGTCGCCAATGATGGACGACGTCGGCATAATTCGAGTGAATGGTCGTCTTCAAAACGCGTACGCCATTCCTCAACACACACGTCAACCCGTAGTATTGCCTCAACGACAAAACGTGACCAACCTAATCATCGACTTGTATCATCGCATATGGAAGCATCAGAATCAAAACACGATCATAGCTGAATTACGCCGCAAATACTGGATACCTCACATTCGCGAAGAAGTGCGAAAGGCAGGAAGAAGATGTCTGTCATGTCAGAGGGAACGGGCAAGGCTCTAAATACCACAAATGGGACAACTACCCGAGGATCGTCTCACGCCCTTCGTTCGTCCGTTTTCGTATGTGGGGCTAGACTATATGGGACCGTTCATGATTGTGACCGGCAGGCGAACAGAGAAACGGTGGATCGCGTTATTTACATGTTTGACCACGCGCGCCGTTCATCTGGAGATTGCTAGAGATTTGAGTGCCGACACTTGTTTACTGTGTATAAAGAACTTCATGTGCCGACGTGGGACGCCAGTCCGAATAAGGTCGGATAATGGCACAAATTTCATAGGCGCAGACCGGGAACTGAAGCGACAGCTAAAAGACTTTGAAGATGGTAAAATCGCGGACGCACTAGCAAATCAAGGCATCGAGTGGGTGTTTAATTGTCCACTGAACCCACACGCCGGCGGCTGCTGGGAACGCTTAGTGCGCAGCGTGAAGCGCGCGATGCAGCATGCACTAACCAACGAGCAGCTACCGGAACATACACTGTACAGCGTAATGTGTGAAGCAGAAAACGTCGTGAATTCGAGACCCCTAACGCATATACCGCTTGACGCTCCCAATGAAGAACCACTAACCCCTAACCACTTCCTCTTAGGTACAGCTAACTCCGAGCAGACACCACATCCTCAGGAGGAGTCCTTAAGAGTAACCAGGACACAGTGGCGGAAGATGCAGCAAATACACTATCGGTTTTGGAAAACGTGGCTAGCAGAGTACCTCCCTGATTTGTGTCGCAGGACTAAATGGTGGAAACCGGTGAAGCCGTTAGCAGTAAGGGATCTGGTGCTGATCTGTGACGTTCGCCTGCATCGTTCCAAGTGGCCACTGGGTCGAGTAACCAGCGTCAAGTTCGGTCAAGATGGGCAGGTCCGAGTGGCAGAAGTCAAGACGGCCGGAGGCACGTTCCAACGACCAGTCTGTATTTTAGCAAAGCTGGATGGCAGTGAATCAAGCAGCGAGTAGATTCACAGGGCCCGGGATGTTAAGAAGCAAATAGAATATCGTAATTTATTTTCAAATGCGACCCTGTGAGGCGCTCTAAATTACCAATAGAAATAAGTCCGGCAACCTTGTAATTTTTTATGTGTCAAATACGAA